ATGACTGTAAGGTAGGGGACAAGGAGGCTATTTTCCTTTGTAGCCTATAGGTACCGACCACCTTTTCCTTTCCCACAGTACAGCCAAAACATGTAATCAAAGGAGAACAATTGTTCTCAACTTTCATTTTGCTTTTGCTTGACCTGTAAAAGTGCTGACTGGCTGAAAAGTTTGTCTTTTTTTTTTTAGCTGCGATACGTTTAGCAAGAGATGTTCTACATAACCACCATGACCAGTAAAATCATCTTTCCAACAGGAATTTCGAAGTGTTACTTTCTGTCTTGCAACTGCATTCGCACAAGAAAACGTTTAAAACTCTTATTCATGCTGGTCATCTAAGTTGGCTTCTGTATAAGCTTAAAGAGGGAAATAGTCAAAATCCTGGAGACATTTAGGATTATGTTACGTTTTTCCGGGGAAACTAAAGGTCTTACTCTTACTGTAATTTTCTTTACTGCAGTCTGTCAAATAGCCTGCTATGAGCACAACCTGTCAGTAGAAAATAAATCCTGTTTATCCAGTCTGTGTGCTACCACAAAAGTTTGACTGAGATCCATTCTAAAAGAGAAACCTCTGTTGGCAAATCAGTCTCTATGCCACCAATTAACCATAAGCTTCTCATGATGAACATTAATCAATAAGGCGACTTACTGAGAGAAAAGGAACGCAGAACGCTGAACAGCCAGGTATCAATGGCTAGATTATAACCTTCATTAGATTGCACAGTTACTTTCAAATCAACATCACTCGATGCTGATAAGTTTATCTTCCCAAGTTGACCAAACATATTTCCTTTGTATTTTGAAGACATGCATTCAGCTAATTCTTTGTTCTTCAGAACCTGTCTAGCATGTTCTAAATGTGTAATTAAAATTATGAATTTCTTGTGATGGTAGTCTTACAGCAAAATGAAAAAAACAGCTACAACACTACTCTTTAGTAAATTACCGAACTCTTGAAATACCAACCTGCTCTCTGAATGGAATCTGTTAAAATTCTGTCTGATGTGTCATATTCTGTATGATAAATGTAGCCATTTTCAATAAAAGCCAAATCTATTCCTACAGAGAGAGAAAAAGCATGTTTGAAATCACGTAAACCTAAAACCTCAAAACAAACATGTGAAAGCCTCAGATGTATTTCACACAAAATGTTGCTCTACTTTGTAGCCCACTCACTATCCTTATATGAACAAAATAGTCTGCTTTGTAGAAGGAAGACTAACTGGGATTCCATGTGTATTTAAAAAAGGACACTTTAAAAACATTTTAAAATATCTGTCCTTTCTAATGTGTTGATTTGCATGACATCTGTACACAAACTGATCTCTACTGGAGAAACATATGAAAATTCTTCATCATCTCAGCTTCAGGAAAGACATACAAGGTGCTTTCCAAACACTTACTGGTAAAACATCAAGAGATCCATGCTGAAAAGTAATAAAAAGCAGCAGTGTGGGACTATAGGAACACCTCAAAATACAAGGTGTGTTCATTTTACTTCTAATTTGTAAACAGCTTTTCTAATAGCCAGTCTGAAAACTTTTAAAAGTCAAAATAATTTGTAAAAATAAACAAAAAATATTAAGAAAAAAAGGTTTCCTGCAAGATTAATTATACATTCAGTGTATCCCAAACACACCCCCCCTCAGCTGCATATGCAAAAAGCTGTTGTCTGCAATCTGAATCCTCACAATTTTGCAGAGTTTTAACAAATCAGACCTCTATTCTACCAGTGGACAAAGGGACCAAACCAGTTCTTTAACTGAATTATTTCATTTCTATTAGTTTAGGAAAAACAGAGGTCAGTGAGAACTCATTTACCATTTATGATCCAGGTATGATTCTGAACAGATAAAGAACACATTGTACAAAATCAGCTACTTTATTTTCAGGCTAGAAGCGTACTTTGGAACCGTTCAGAATATGCCAACATGTTTTGTTCTAAGAATCAATTTGGAAACACCACTTTTCTTGAAAGCAACTCCAATGACAACCTGTGCCAGACAGCAAAGATTTTACAGTTTATATTCCTTTGAATTGTGTTTGCATCGTGTGTTCCACATTTTTCCCCACTGGTCATTCTCTGCAGAATGGATAGCAAACCGTAAACAGATTAGCAAAACCAAAAACTGCTGTCCTGTGCTTGATTATGACAGAAAAAAAAAAAGTAATGAAAATGCATTAATTACTAAGTCACTATCTTTAAAAAAGATTATTTTGCTTTATCCATTAGGTACAGACATCTAATTCCTGCAAGCAGGTTGTTAGCATCAATACCAAAACATTTCAAAACAGAATATTTAATAGTGTACTGTTAATTCCTGGAGTGTTTTCCTGATTTTCAGGAAACTTTTCTACCATGTAGTTTCTTTTTGGAAAACAGCAGTCTCCAAAAAACTTTTTTACACGACAAACCAAACCTAAATGTTCTTGCCTTAAAAAAAAAGCAGGAAAATTTGCTCGAACTGAAAGTCAAAACAAATTTGAGGACCTTCACGTCCTGAACTGCAGAACAGTCTCCTTGTTATAAACTTAAGATAAGTGGTTGCATGATGCATATTGACATGTCTTCTGATAACATACCTGGAACATTGCCAAAGTCCCTGTAGATACGGAAGTCTGTATCTGCTGGGATAATACCACTCTGAAATATTTCCTGTGCCACCACAGAGGCAAAGGGATGTTTGGCTGCAACTACATATGCTTGTACCAACCAAGGATTCTCAGGTCCTAACAAAAGATGAGCAGAAAGTTCACAACAAATACTTTTTGAACTTCCATTAAGGTATGTATCTTTATGGTAATAAATAAATAATGCAAAGGAACTCGTTAGAGTCTTAACGCTGTTGCCCCACAGAGTATATACTAAGTGCATTTGTGTTGGCTGAATGACTCACATTGAGAGAAAGAATTAGTTACACTTGGGAGGAAAAAAACCCACTGGTGCCTTGAGTGTTCAGTGGCAGAGTACATAAGCCATCTCCCAAAAAAGACTCAGCACTAATGAAGAAGTCACAACTTTTAGCAGAGTTTCCAATTTATCATCTATGTATCACACCTCAAAATTGTTGGTTAGAGAAAAGCCTCTCTACTAAAGTATTCAATGCAAGTAAACAATTAAGCAGCTCCAGCAGTAGAAGGAAGTCTGCGGTCCAACTAGGATGGAGCAGAAGTTTAAGTGTAGCCTACAGAACACAGAAGTTTTGCTGCTTCCTGAGCAGCAGATGGAGTTCTAATGCCAACATTTCCCAGCAAAGATTTTGAAGGAACTGCTGTGAAAATTAAGTGAAGTATATGAAAGTATGAGTACGCAAGATATACGAGATACCAAGGTAATAAGGAGAACACCAGATTTGAGTATAAAAGGGAAATACAACTTCTGTAATTCTGTTCTACACAGGCTTCCCACCTATGAGGCAACTTCTGTGGCAGTGCTTTAGCCTACGTGTATCTAAAGACGGAGTGCAACTTATTTGCTGCACAGGGTTGGGAAGGAGGCACAGAGGTTCTCCTGTCTTTTGCTTATGCATCACTTTCAATACTCCTTCAAGTCTACATTGTTTATTATCAAGTTATCCTAGTGTAGAAACTGGACACAATGCAAGCTCATACCTGTTTGAAAAACAAGTTCTTTTCCTCCTACACCTGCTGCCTCCAGGTTAATAAAAGCTCTAATTGACTTGGCCCACTCATGTTGTGTAATGAAGCCGTGACTAGCCTTGATGGGAAAACATAAAAAATATAGATCAATTATCTTCCAGACCAGCCTGAATGTTATTTTCCATCACGTATGATAACTCAAGATTGGACAAGGCAGCCAGATCACTTACAACACAAAGAGACACAGATAATCCAAGTCTTCTAATTAAATTAATATGGACACTATTCTTAATCGAAGTATATTTTTCCCTTTGAAAACAAATACATTTTCCTCAGAATGTTAAGACTGGCATTTAACTAATATTTCAACAAATTAAATACAAGCCATATCTGCAGTTACTCTTTCCTTTGTCAGAGTCTTAATACACAGCTTTGATGTATATTTTATAATTCTGGCATATTCTCACCTGCAAAATATTTTCTTCCGCACCATTAAATAAGAATATGACAGCATGCTGCAGGGGCTCTGATGATTTTGAAAGCGTGTTAAGTATTTCAAGCATCACTGCGCAGCTAACAGCATCATCACTGGCACCTTAAAATAATCAGAAGAATAGTATGGTTTACAACAAACACACAGAATTGCAACAAAGACCAGAGAAGAAAAAAGATTTATGCTATCTCAGTCACTTAATCTAACTGAGGTACAATTATGTCAAGCTTTAGTATATTTTCTGCTACTGCTTCTACCCTGTGTCTATACTAGTTAAAAGCAAGAGCAGAAAGAAAAATAATGTTCAAAAGTTGAGCAAGTGAAGTACAAGATATCAGATCCAATACTACTGTTAAAAAAAAAGTAGACTAACCAGGCTACTAAGCAAGCAAAGTGATCATTATCTATTTTTCTAAGAACAATATGAATAAACAAGGACATAACTTTCACTTACAGCACACTCAAATTTCAAAAACTAAACATTCCCACACAAGTCACCTTAAAGCATTCTACACTGCTACAATTACACTTCCTCTCACCTCCTCCCATGCCCTGCCATTTTTTTATCTTGATTAAGCATCCATCTTTTAGCCAAGGTCTCCCACTGCCCCATTTCCCTCACTTTGGTGCAAGCTGTAGCATCTCCCTACCCCACTCTAATCAATAAAATTTGGGAGCAAACAGAGAAATTTAACCTCATTCCTTTAGGCCTGGGTTGCATATATGATGCCGACACGCATTGAGATGACAAAGACAGTGTGGTTAGGCCTCAGCATGCTATTAGGGCAGACTCAACAGCCGCTAAAACTGTTTGATTTACACATTAAAAAAGCAGCTTTTCCAAAGCTTGCAACTTGGCAAAATTTAGACATATCTGCCCCTTCCGTGAAAAGGGCATATTCCCGATACAAACACAAATCTCAGTCTACATTTTAGCCTTAGCTTATTGTAGGGAAGTACTTTAGAATAAATAAATAAATAAAACCAAAATCTTTCCAATACACTGTTTTCTAATCTATTTCTCAGACATTAATGCCTTGTTCTGCCAAAAGCTTTTTGGAAAGCCCCCCAAAAATATCTGATTTAAAGCCCTGATTGTATTGCTACCCAAATTTATCAGTAGTCTACTCTTAGCCACACTGAGTTCTTTTATCTAACTTATGCAGTGTTGAAAACTCAGCAGAGAAGTGATTATAGTTTTCAGCGAGATTAACAATCTGTTGTGCTGTGAAGCTAAGAAAAAGAAAAGTTATTCATTTCAACAGACATACAGATTTACATCTGATTAAAGCAGCCATGTGGCCACAGACTATGACACAAGCTCACAGAGAAAGTATCATCCTCAAATACTTCATCTACAGCAAAACTGACCACAGGTTAAAACAGATTTTAAGGCAAATATCAGTAACCTAAGAAAACCACATTATCAGCTACACCTGCAATGGTAATTTCAAGGATGTTTCTGCCTTCAAGTTTATTAGAAAAGAATCAAATACGCCATAAACTGAAAATTAGTACCATTAGAACAAAAGACATGTTTCAGGAGTTTACAGCTTATGTTTTTCCTTCACAAGGAAATCAAGCTTTGTAACATTGAAGCACTAATGGTTTACCCAGTTTTGCTTTACTCATTTTGTATGCATAAGCATCAACAGCAGATTATGTTTTATTATCTGTTTTTCAAATATATTACTCATTGATCACTGAGTCCTGCTGATTCTAGTTAAATAACACATTTTTGGTAATGTAAAAAAGCTGTAAGCAAGTAACTTACAGAAATACAGAACAGAAAACAAAAGGTTCTTGCTTAGGTCATGTGCAAGTTTCACACTAAGAAAACGAAAGACAGAGCAGTTCCTCACTGTTGTAGTAAAGGACTAGGCTGCTTTGTGATTAAGGGCAAGCATACTGGCCGATTTCTAGCTCCTCCACAGATTCTGTATAATCCTATACAAATCACTAATATTTTTGGCACCTCTGTGAAAGGTTGGTGAAGTACTTCACTAAGTAACTGTAAAGAAAGTAGCTGATGTAGTCATAATCTTGTGTTACAACCCATAGAAGCGAACACACAATTTACACAGAGCATCAATTTAAAGACAGTTTTCAACAATCCCTGTATTATGCTTGTGAAGTATTCTAAGTCTAGGCAGACATATTTAGACTATAAATACAGTAATTAGCATCTCTGCAGTTCCTAAAATCACAGAGCAGGTATAATAATCATGCAGTTATTAAGCTTAATTTGGAAACTCATCTTGCCTAAATATGATTGAAGAGAAAGAGAAGTTCTGTATACTATTTGTGGACAGAAAAAAAGGCACAAAGAGTATGGCAAGTGCTTTGTTTCTCTAGCTAATACTCAACTGTTTCCTCAATAATGAAGACTATTTGCATGTGCTAAAGAACAGAAGGTTTACCCCCCAAAATAAAGTATCACGTGGGGTATAAATGAAGAAACTTCAGTAAAAGCTGCGCTGCTGGCGACTGAAATCTGTACGTATTTTTCAACTGCAGTAACAGCCACACACCTGAGTGTTACAGCAAATGTTTTGGTGTGGTTTTCAGTTCCCTACCTTCCTGGCACTGTCAAACCCATGTATTTACAAAGCTGTTTACACCCTTGCTGCAATAATTATTTAACATGATTAGATTTATAAAAATGTAGAGGGACAATAAGAAGAGAGTATGCAACAGTGACAGTGAAAGTAGCAGCGAGAGAGATGTACACACTACCAAGGCAACAGTACCTTAATCTTTGATCACTACAGTCTTTTGAGACAGAAGCTCTGAATGCAGAAAGGAAAAAAAAAAAAGTGGCCTAGCTTAAGGATATCACACTAAAAATTTGAGATGAAGTACAATACCAGCAAAGGGAGGGGAAAACAGAGACTGGTTAGTGGGGGGTGGGAACAGTCTCTGGCACAAAGCATCCTGTGAAAGGAAAGCCAGGATTAAATCAGTGCAGAAGTACGGAAAGATCTGAATGACAGGTGGAAGCAGCACATGAACTACACGCATAAGCAGTGAATTACAAGGAAGGCAGATAAAACCAAACTTTCTAGAAATCCAAATACACTATCTGTAATTTGCTGCCTACCAGAAAGCAAGATTGAAATCCTGACTTTAATAGGACCAACCTGTCACTCTAAATACTGAATCTCACTGAAATCAAGCAGACTAGTTGACACATGCAGTATTCTAGCATGTGGCTATAAGGCTACTTGGTATGAGAAGACAGCGAGCCAAGCCCTGTGGCTCATGTAATATACAGAAACGCAGAACGAACATGTGGACCTACCCGGGGTATTTGGTACGGAATCAAAGTGACAATTGGATAACACTGCATGCTGAGCTCCGTTTCGGGGTTCCAGCTTCACTACGACATTGGTTATGTTTGCATAGTAACTAGTAAAGCCTCCTAAAAAGTCAATGCTGAAGGAGCCTGTGGGCCTCTGTATGTCTACAGATATCTTGTGAGCATCTGTGCTTTCTCTTTCTATTGCCCTAATTTGTTCTAAGAGGTAGTTAACTGCAAGAACTTCATTTTCTGGACTTCCAACTGTCCTGGGCCCAATTGCTGTTATGTTGTCAAGATATCCCCTGTAAGAGATAAATTACACATTCAAGATCAACACGTTCAACATTTACTATGTAACTTATCTACAACTGTAATATCTTTGTACGTTGCTCTATTTCAAAACTCAAAGTAAGTGGAAGAGACTAAAGCCAGTTAGATGGTAAGTGTAGTCCAGATGCCAAAGATCATTACAGTAATGGGCATACAGTACCGATCTTTACTCAGGTCTCCTCATCCTATCTATGACGGATGGGGAGAAGAATCAAACTACTGGTTTCCTGGTTCGAACATATCAATCCAAGAAGAAACAAAAGGGTGAGTGGAGAAGCTAAAGATTTTCTCTTTAGCAAGGTTCTGCACATGCATGCATGCTCTTCCCTGACTGTCTGAATAAGCACACTCTTAGCAAGATTTACACCAATTAAAATTTACAAAGAAACTTTCCCAGACACTAAGTCCTTTACAATACTACGAGAATTAAACTACGGAGGATGCATTGTTTGATCAGCCCAAAACAGCACCTTTAAGAGGCAGCCAATATGAGAACTGGAGCCCTGACAATGTTTTTACCTACTTTCTGCACGCGTCCGAGCGAGCTCTGAGTTCTTGCCGGGGCAGGGAGAGACACAAGCACTCTACAGAGGGCAGTAACCCAGCAACCGACGGGAGAGGCCCACACCGCCTTCGCC